CAGGGTGGCTGAAGTTCCCCCATGAGGACCAGGGCCTGCAAGTGTGAGGCACGTAGTCTGCATAAGTTTAGGCAGTGCTCCACACTGACGTATTGAACAGGTGTATGTCCACCTGGTGTTCTTGCCAATTGTATCTCCTGCAGCTTCTCTAAGTTCTTACCTGCTATGTCTTGATGGTTTCTGATTCCCGTTATTTGTTGTCTTTTAGCCTGTGCAGGAGGGATGAGAAGGACCAAAAGAACTCCATCACCATCTTCTCATTTTTTATTGCACTTCAGAATCCTTGCACATCAAACCACTCTTCATCCTGTGAGTACCTGTTGAGATAATTACATTTGTTTGTTTGTAAGTCTGGTGTGTGACTTAATCTGCTGGTCATGTTCCTCAAGAGTAAGAAAACAAACATGCAGACAGCTGTGAGAGAAGTATTCTGAACAGGACCATGGTGATCTTGTGTTATACAGGGGTTCTCCTCTTGACACTTTTTCCCTTGGAGAGGAAAATTCAGCTGTGTGCCATTGAAGTATAACTGAGCTTCCATGCTGCAGGAATTAAGATTGCCAACTTAGCCTGTGCTGCAGGTCTGTAAGACAGCCTGAGTGTTGGCAGCTGCTGGTAGTTCCTTAGGATGGAAAATCATATGGCAAACTGTAATCGAGTTAAGAGGTATCTTCTCCTTCCAGAAGCATACTGGTCATGTCTGGGATTAATGTGAAGTGCCTCAATTTCCACCAACAAACCTAGGTAGAGTATTGGGTCCATTTATTGAAGAAAATATCTCCTGTCCACTTGGCCAGAAATGTTTTGTGTGCTGCAAACTGATGTTTGCAGTCCTATTTTAGATGCTGTTTGGGTAAAGTATGAAATACATCAGTGTGAAGTTAAGGAGTTTATAGCTCAGCATTACGTGGTTTTCTATTCTTTTCAAGTATGCCTGACTTTAAGAAATGAATCTCACCTAAAAAGTTGATTTAATTCCCCTGAGCCTTGTTTTCAGAATTATAAAGGTGCAGCTTCTCAAGCACAGAGAGGTGGCTTTTAAGCAATGTTGGCAATCCAGTGAAGGACTCACTGAAGGAAACTGCTTCAAATCCTGGATTCATGCAAATTATGAAGTTTGAACAAGGAAAAGACCTATAGGTGAGTTCAGCTTTTCACATTATCCTAGAATACCGTTTGTTGTAGATTAGCTTACCTGAGAGCTAAAACCTTGCTTTGCTTTTTTTTTGTTCCAACGCAACATTTCAGCAGAAGGTGGGGTTAAGTGTACGCAGGTGGCTTTCAAACAGTTCCAAATACGTTCAACCCATGGCTCTGTTAAGGTTTCCTGACCAGCAGAAAAGTTCTCTTATTTATTTCCAAAAATAAACTTGAATGTGATGGACCTTTTGTGGGGAAAGCATACTCTATGGCCTCAATGCAGTCCAGTTGCCAATGCCTGAGACATTTTGGGAAGAGAACTAGAATGTCATAGAGAGATTCCTACATTGCATTATGAAGGCTCCTGTGCTACTTAGTTTTGGCACCAATGTTGATGGTTGCCTTACAGTGTGTCTCTACGCTCCGTAAGGAATTAAGTGGATTGTTACTACAGTGGTGCAATCAAGATAGCAGACAGTCTTGACAAGGAGACTGAGCAAGGCTAAAGTTAGCTAAATTTTATGTTCCAATACCATTATTCCTAATTCTGCTAGCCCCTCACTAGACTTCTGACACCCAAACAGCTGTTGTGATTTGCCTTCATGCCTGAAGAAGAGAATTTCTTCCTTATTAAAAAAAAAAAAAAAGCTGCCACAGGGAAGTTCTCTCAGGCATCATTCAGAAAGATACTGTTTCCATGGTCTTGCATTGCACCTAGGGCCAACAATTCATGATGCTCCAAAAGGCTTCAGGTGTAAGTTGTTGACACATCGCTATTAGAATAGATATGGAAAAGCCATTTTGAAGTACTGCTTCTTTTGTGAGGCTGCAACTCCAACTGAGGTGCCTTTTAAGTAATGCTAGTTTCAGCAGCCTCCCTGTGCTTCTCCCTGGGCCCAGTCAAACCTTTGTGGCTACAGTTGCGTTTAATCATCAGAGGCTAAATCTGATGCTTCAGGTTAGTTTAGCTATGCACTACTGCAAAATCATGTAGAACAATCAAAGCATCAGCAATGAACCAGGCTAGACAAAGACCTGCCTCTTCTGTGAAGAAAAGCCTTGAAAACACTCATTTTAAAGTGTCCTAAGTCAGTCAGTTTTCATGATCTCCCAGGCCTTCCTGAGATTACAGAAGTCTATAATTTTCTTGTCTTTGTTCTGTTATGGTTTTGCAAAGACTAAACTGTACTTTCACACACATCAAAGGATCTTTCCTGACCTGTACTAAAAATAACTGCACAGTATTTTCCTAAAGAAGCAGTATCCCTCTAGTCCCATATATAGATAAAATGTATACATTATTTATAAATGAGAGCCTAATTTTTTAAACAGTGTAAAGTTAGTTACTCCTTTTAACAAAGCTGGGGAAATTGCACAGTGACACTGATAGTGTGTATGAATTGCTCTGAACTAAGGACGCTTTCCAGTCAAAGACAGGAATTTACATGGTTGAGAACTTACATATTAATATGCAAGTTGTAGGCAGCGTAACAGCCTCTATAACAGGTAGTAACACAAAAAATGATCCAAGTAGAAATATTTTTCCATTTGAATTGACTGCACCTTCAACTGATTTAATTCTTCTAAATATCTCTAGATGCAGTCCTCTGTTATGTTGAAGTTCTTTCATGTTTAAGGAAAGCATAACTAATCCTGCAGCTGAAATCTATGCCCAAAGGCTTCTTACAGATGCCAGAAAAGGGATCTTTATATAAATTTGAGTTGAACTCCAAAAGGCTTAACATTACAGAACTGTAGGTAAGGTATCTTTTCTCCCTTTCATTAAAGTGAAATCCAGCTAAGAAATTCTCACTTTACCACAGCATTGTAGG